ATCTGTTTTATGGATTCCATTTGTTTCCTATGTTGGGATTCCGTCATGTTCCTCAGATCTTCTATTTTTTTATCTGTGTCCTCTCTAGATTTATTAATCATGTCTTGCACTATGAGCACAATGTGTGCTGTTATCTGAGTAATTATTTCTGATTTCATTTTTCCCAGATCCTCTTTTGTTGCCAGTTCAGTGTCCAGGTTGTTGAGTATCAGATTGTTCCATCTCATTTCCCTTTGGGGTTGCTGTAGGTGATCCAGAAGTCTGTTTTTGAGGCTTGTTTACGTGTCTTCTCATTTCCATGGGTGGGGGGGAAGGGTGCTTCTGGTGCCTGTGTGGCTCACCTTCTCTGCCCTAGGAGCTTGGGATGGCAGCAGGGGAGCTTCCTTCTGGGTTCTGCGACTGGCTCAGCTTCTGTGCCCTAGGAGCCTGGGATGGCGGTGGGGGAGCTCCCTTCCAGGTGCTGGGACCGGTTCAGCTTCTCGGCCCTAGGAACTTTCCTTTTAGAGAATTCGTCTTACTTAAAGTAAGAATTCACAGGATGGGGATGTCATTCAGTGGTACAGCACTTGCCTTGTACAACCAAGGGCCGAGGATCCAAGGTGAGAGGGCACTGAGATCATCACACGTGGAACCTATGCACGCTGGGTTGCCGCCACCTCCCCCGGCTGCACACTACCCCTTCTATCTAAGAATTATAAGTGGTCTGCAGTCCAAGGAGATGGGCAATGTGATTATAGTGGGGAAACCCAATACTAACTGTGGAGATATGTGAATTGTCCTTCCAGCCACGACCAAGGAATTGGAACTGAACTGGGCCAGTTCATTAGCTTGTCTGTGTCCCAGTCTCCTGTTAGGCAACAGAGGTTGAACTGAGTTATTCGATATGGCCTTATCCTCCTCTACAAGTAACTACATAAGCTTAAGTTAACTTCATACACTTTTCTAGCTTGAGAATTTAAACCATATGTATTTATAAGCAAGCAAAATCTACTTAGGCATCCTTTGGGTTCAAAAGAATCATTTTTTCACAATTTTTTCATTCTTTCTATGATCTTACTAGAAGGACCAGTTCTCCAAACCAAAAATGTCACAACAATGTGGGTGATGTTTTATGTGGATACTTTTCTTGGCCTACCTGGGTACCAGGTGGTGACAGGGGATTATCTATAGATACTAGAATTCCTATGGTGACGGTGACTGTAACTCATGTGGTTCTAGAATTCATCTCATCCCTAGGGTAACACTTGAGAGTCACAGAGAAGCAAAAGGACTTAAGCTTGTTCTTCCCTTCCTGGCTGAGGTGAGCAGAGGGCTTCTGCTCTGTCATGAGCTCCTGCCATGATGCGCTGCCTCTCCATAGGTGTAAAAGCTCTGGTACCATCCAGCCATAGTCAGGAACATCTAAAACCATGAGCCAAGAGAACCCTTTTCTCCTTCTATTAAAATAAGAAAAGACTCAAGGCCGGAGTACGTTCAAGGTACAGTGTTGTTTTTTACACTCTAATGGGAACTTATTATCAGACAGAACCTGCCTCCTTGAGACTGGGACTGTCCCCCAGGTCACAGGATTTATAGTAATTGTAGCCACATTCCAACAAATTGACACAATTGAAGTGGTGTGCTTGTTTCCTAGGAAGGTAGGGTTTTTCTAACTAATCATCATAAGCAAACAGCATGGCTGTAGATGAAATATTTAAAAATGACAGTCGGTGCTCTGTAGCTGTGGGTTCCACATCTGCAGCTTTAACCAACATTCAAAAATATCTGGAAAACAATTTGTCTGCACTGAACATGAACAGATTTTTTTTCTCATGATTCCTTAAATAATACAGTATAACTAATTTTCACATCATTTGCATTGTATTAGGTCTCATAAGTAATCTAGACAAGGTTGGAAGTACACATAAAGATGTGTGGGTTCTATGCAAATGTTATGTCGTTTTGTACAGGTCCTCACACATCCTCAGATTTTGGCACCACTGGGGTTGTGGGACCAACTCCCGGCAGATAACTGAAAACAACTGTACTTGGTTACGGACAATGTTGAAAGTATACAGGCTTACAGATCATGTCTTCTTACAGGTGTTTATTGGCCTTCTTTAACCCCCATTTCTTATGGAAAAAAGCCAAGATGGGGTAAAGTGAGGGAGGCAGAGGGGAAATTTGAGTGGGCATCACTCTCAGGCCCAGTCCAGCATGAGCAAAATGGGGGCCTTCTTAAATTTCTGTTTGCCTGGCCCTGGTAGCAGAATGACTATTGTATTTCATGAGCCAGAGCAACCTTACTCTTTGGATTTTCTGAATTGTAGTACTTTTCCCAGTGCAAATTCTGGCTTTGTTATGGGTCCAACAGGGGAAAGTTAAAAAATTATGACCTGGACACAGGAAACAAGTCTTTATAAAGTTCTTTTGTGGGACAAATATATACACGATAAGACATAAGACATCTTTCAAAGGACTTGGGATTTTTATTCAGTAGTTGTAAAACTGGAATGCAGTTTTTAAAAGTCTCACTATGTTAGGCTCTCTGCGTCTGTAAGCTCAGTGCTTCATTCTAAGTAGTTAGATACCTGGCATAACATCTACTCCATGCTTTAAAAAGGCTCTTAGGTTTGAAGTCCTCTTTCTTTCTTTCTTTCTTTCTTTCTTTCTTTCTTTCTTTCTTTCTTTTCTTTCTTTCAGGGAAACAAGATGAGCATTTGGAGCCAATATATTGAGTTTTTCTCCTTCTCTACATGGCATCTTTGCCATCTCCCTGTACAGGCAGCCTGCTCCACGGGCAGGAGATCTGCATGTGGGGCAGGGTGGCTGCCAGGGAACCCTGCCCCAGGCAGCACTCAGCCCTAGATGATGGATAATCACCATGGACTTAGGGATTTTAAATAGCTTTAAATCTTTGACTTTAAAATAGAAATGAATCACAATTTACTGTAAAACACAACAAAATAAAGAATTTGTAATGATTTAAAGAAATTCTACAGGTACGCCACGGTCGTATTCCTAACTCAATTCCAGTTGTTATTTGTCACCATTATCAATTGGGTTTTTTTCTTCCTGCCAGTTTGTTCTGAGACGTTAGAAGGTGCGGCTCTCGTCCTTGGCCTCCTGACCTTCTAGAGAAGGTCCGGAACTACTCAAATCAACAGAGCATTACCTAGGGCAAAACAGTGGGGCGGAGATAAAGCTCTGCAGGGACCAAATGAAGCACATTTTAGAAACAAGTCATTGTAGCTTGCCTGGAATAAAAAGGCTCCCTTGGGCACCTGTTCTTTTGCACAAGTCACGCTCTGGTGTCCAAAGCGAGGGACTCGCATGAGCCGCCGTCCTCCGCCCTCCCTTCAGCTCTGGGACCAGCAGGAGGCACCAGCTGAGGAGCACGCTGTCCCTCCCGGCACTCTCCCGGCTTCTCAGCCCTTCCCAGCACACCTAGCGTCACTCCCGCAGCAGGGTCCCCTCCCAAGGGCAGGTCCCACCTTGAGCCGTCACCCCGCTGGGAGCCCAGGGCAGGTGTCTGGTTACAGCCCAGGGCCTGGTATTGTTGGGTGGAGTCTGGGGAAAATCCTGTCTCCCCCAATTTATATTGCAGGTTGTTATAATTGTACAAGTCACAATAGGCGAAGATTCACGGAGAGTTAGTTCACGCAGTTGTGCATAACCCTACCTCTGACCTGCAGTCATACCCTGTGTTTAATTTAAACTCTGAGTGGAGAGAGATGGCTGGGGCAGATCGATTCGACTGCATGTCATTTCTCCTGGACCATTCCGTAGACTCGGTCACTGAGTCGGGTCGCAGAAGGCATCGCGAGCACACATTGGTGCGTTCTCTGTGTGTAATTCCCTGTTTCGGGGAGAATTCGAAGGTGTTCTGAGATCGAATCAGATGGCAGAGGAGGGCGAATTCTAGCAGTTCCTTACTCCGGACACACGGGGGCGCTAAACCGGAGAGGCTGCTGAAAAGGCGGCAGGGTGCTGCTCTTGCCCTCGCGACGTCGTTGTACACAGAGGGCCACGCCCCGACTCGGAAGCGCGGGCTTCACGTGACGGGGCGTGGGCCGCTGCCCTGGAAACGCAGATCGCGTGCTACTGCGGGAGCTGGATCCCCGGGCTCAGAGTTTGGGGCTGAGGAAGAGGCTGTGGTGGGGGTACGATGCTGTGCTCCCGAAGCCTGGGCGGCCTCGGAGCCGGGGTAGCGGCTCTACGCTCCAGGCCAGCAGGCCAAGTTAGGTTCGGAGCTGGGATCCGGGCCCGAAGGGTCAGCACCAGCTGGTCCCCGGTAGGCGCCGCCTTCAATGTCCGGCCCCAGGGCCGCCTCCTGGACCTGTTCGGCGAGCGCCAGGTGAGCGGCTCTGAGGGGCTTCCCCTGTTCCACGCGGTCAGCAGCGACCCGGACAAAGTCTCTCGGGGCTGAGAGGAGCCGGCCGCGAGTGTACGGTGCACAGTGGGGTGTCCTTCGTGCTGTCCGCGACCTCACCTCACCACCACCTCCACTCTGAGGCCCCGAGTTACAGGGTGCCTGGCCAGGCAGCCTTTAGTGGCCCCTCCCTAGAGTGTGGGATCCCAGAGCTGCCGCTGCCTGAGCTGCTCTCTCCACGTGAACGTAAAATATAAAAGTTAGTTTTGGCGGCGGCGGTAAATTCAGCTTGCGGGTCGTGTCCTCTTTCCACCGCCGCTGAAGTTCATTCTCCCTGCAACCCTACAGTTGTGCGTGAGAGATCTCGCCCCATGGGTTCATATGCGGCATCAGGTTGTCTTTATGTAGGGACACTCTTTGCTTGGTAACGTAATAGTAATTCCTTTGATGCCCCGGTTAATATATTATTTCAAAACCGAGCTTGCTTATTTTAAAACATTAAGCCCTGCTGAAATGAGTCTTATTTACTGTGGTGCATTGGAGTTGGCGGTGATTTCTTACCCTTGGAAATCACTAGGCTGAGTTGTTTATTCTTGTGTCCAATCCTGCCTGACTGTCATGGTGCCTAGTATTCAGTAGGGAACCAGTAACTATTGAGTGAATGAATGACAGGTGAAAGGAAAGCAAACTTGAAAAGGACTTGCTGATGTCTGTTTTACTTTGCATTTGTAGGTTTTGTCCATTCTGGTTTAAGGATTACTTTCATTTAAAAAAATTTCTTCATTGTAGCATTGCTTGCCTTATAAAGAGTCTAGGATATGGTTGCAGTGAGCTTAATGGTCTTATTTTATCACTGTCATTGACTTTGTCATTTATTTTGGATGAAATTTTGACATAGTTTTTGGTTGAGATTTTCTGCACCAACTCCCATAAGTTGGCTTAATGCAGTGTGCAGGGAACTATTTTACCTGTAGATGACAGAAGGAAGAGGAGGCTTAGTTTTGAGTGGGCGAATAAAACAGTTTAACTTAATTTTTCTTTTGTGCTTCATGATTTTAGGTACTGATAGCACATTTTCAAATTTGTGAATTGGTTTTTGGCTCAGGAAAAAATGGTTTAAGTAATTTTTTTTAGCATTACCTTGACTGGCAATCCAAGAATTAGAATTCTCAAGAGCAACATGGAGAGGTTGTACTGGGAAGTGGAAGTGATCTCTTCTTGAATGAAATTAAATCAGTGTCAAGAGTTAAATTTATTAGGCCCTGATTCTACTATACCCCCAACTGTCTTTTTCATTCATTTTCTTCAACTTAATATTTTTAATTTTTCTATTTATTATTGTGGTGCTAGGGATTGAACTGGAGGCCTGGTACATGGTAGGCAGCCTCTGCCATTGAGCTACCCAGCTCTCCCAATTTAATATTTTTGATGACAGCTTGATAGCCTCACTTCATGCATCTCTTCTGGAAACTGTACATCTTATCAGGCCTGAAAGTTTTACTTGTTGCTCTTCTCAGAAATCTCTGAGTTAAGCATCTGCCCCATTCATTTGTTTGTGTCACTGAGTTCCCCCACGTGTGAGTCATTCCTGATCACAGGTATAATTATAATATACTAATGAAACCAAATTTCCTTTGTAAAAAAATATCTTTAGTAAGTGCAAAAATCATGTCTTTGGTTATAAACTGGACATATTCTGTTGGTTTCAGGGTCTCTTTGGCGTCCCTGAGCTCAGTGCTCCAGAAGGATTTCGAGTTGCACAGGAGGAAGCCTTGAGAAGGACAGAGTTGCTGGTGGAGCGGGTGTGTTCTACCCGCCCTGGGCCGGAGACTGTTTTCATCTTTGATGAGCTCTCTGACACCCTGTGCAGAGTGGCGGACTTGGTAAGACGCTTTGTCTACGGCTCCACTGGACTGGACGCTGCCTCTTTCAAGCAATTGACATTTTAAGCAACTAAAACATCCTTTGTTGATGTAGGACTAAAACTGTCAATTAAAAAATGTCTGTAATTGGGCTGGGGATTTAGCCCAGTGGTGCCTCACCTGCCTGGCAAGCACAAGGTCCCAAAGTTGATTCCAGGTACCGGAAAAAAACCGAAAAACCAAAAAATGGCTGCAATAATTGAGAGCTATTGGGTAGAAGTGGTCGTGTGGCAGTGTGCCTTTAGGGACAGGGGAAAGAGGCTGGGTGTGGCGGTGGACGCCTGCAATCCCAGTGCTTCCGGAGGCAGGAAGGTGTCAGGTTTGAGCCCAGCCTGGGTAATGTGGTGACATAAGGGAGACCCTGTCTCAAAAGGAAAAAGAAAAAAAAATGGGCCTGGGGATGTAGCTCAGTGGGTAGGCCCAGGGTTCAATCTCCAGCACCATTGGCGGGGGAGGAATGAGAATAATACAGGGAAAAATGATATTTAGAACTTGTACTTTAATATATGATAAAATGTACATGTAATATGTAACAAAAGAACAACTAATGCAATGAAGATTTTTTTTTGTTTGACAAAGGTCCTTTATTCCTGAGAGCTACTACCAAAATTCTAATAGATGATTTTATTTATACATTTGTCATAAAATTCCTCTTTCATAAAATGAATGAAAACCAGTGTTTATAAACCTTTTCAGGAATGCCTTGTTTAAAAATATCAAACTGATTGTATTAAATACCTTTATCATGTTTTGAGGTTGAAATAGAAGTATACCTAGTTGTCTTCATCTACTAAGAAACCCATTGCTCCCACTAGCCCAGAGGGGCCAGATCTCCATGACATGCATCAGTGAAGGTTTTGGTGGTGCACGTAATCTAAAGTTGTGGTCATTTATGATCCTGTCTGTGTTGTGTTGAATGATTACAGCTTTCATCTTTGTATTCCGTCAATATCAAGCATCTACCATGTGCCAGATGCTGTTCTAGGCACAAGGCTTATAGTCATGAACAGAGCTTCTGTTCAGGTGTCCAGGGGTTTTTAGATCTTGCAGAGTGGGGGCCTGGATTTTTAATGATTTAATTCTCCCAGCAAATCTTCACCTGCCCTCACCTCACATCTGTCAGCCTGGCGACCACTGATCTGTCTTCCATCCCTGTCACGTTGTCCTTTTCAGAATGTCACATAAATGGAATCCTTTTGAGACTAACTTCTTTCCATCAGCCTGATACCTCCACATCTTTGCTCTTTTTCCCTTTTCAGAACATTTTCTTTGACTATAGCAGAAAGTATCCTTGTGTAAAGGTTTTTCCCAGGAGTGAAGGCCAGGGCCCTCGGCAGTCAGGTCTAAGTTCAGCTGGGTCTCTGTCTCGCTCCTCTGCTGTGCGCCAGGACTCCGCTGACCATGAGGAGCAGTGGACACGCGCAGCCAGGTGGGGCCTCTGTGCCTTTTTCATCTAACTGTGCCCCTGAAGTCTGGAAAGGAAAATACATGTGAGTAGATTTTCCTTATGAATAGACAGAGGTTGACTGGCCCTCAGAATCATGGAATTCATTTTTATTTGTTGCTTTAGCTTTCTAAGTAAGTAGTATTCTAGAATTTGTCTCTACTTTTTGCTTTTGTTCTTCATGAAACAATTTTAAGTTCTCTGTGCTATATCTTGTCCTTTGTTTTTTTTTTTTTGGTACCGGGGATCCACCTCAGGACCTTTCGAGGCAGGTGGCGGCACCACTGAGCTAAATCCCTGGCAATCTTGTCCTATTTTTGAAGTTTTTTTTTTTTTATATATTTGTGATGTACAAGAATATCTCATTTAAAAAACTTTTTAAGCTGGGTGTGGTAGTACCGGCGGCCTGTAATCCCAGCACGGTAGGAGGCTGAGGCAGGACATCAAAAATTCAGGCCCAGCCTGGGCAATTTATTGACGAAGAGCCTGTCTCAAAATGGAAAAAAAAAAAAAGGTTGATATGTAACTCAGTGTGAAGGCCTTGAATTCTTGAATTCACAAAAGCCAAAAAACATTATCACAAAAGCCAAAAAACAAAACAAAACCAAAAGCATATTTTAAAAAACTATAATGGAACTTACTTATATGTATAATTCTCTGGGTAAAATAACTCAAAGAACTTCTCTCTTTCTGAATTTTTAAGATACTACCTGCCTATATGCTCAATACCATTGTAAGGCAATACAAATGGTATATGAATTATTTCTTACCAACTACAGTAGTCATTTTGTTTTATTTTTCTTTCTTTAGTACAATTTTTATGTAATGCAGTTGTTTTCCTCATCACTTTTAAGATATGTACTACTGTTTTGATGCTTAACATTGTAACTTAATGTAACGTGGATTCATAACTTGTAAAATATGTTGTAAATTTTACAAAGCTCATATTTCAGATACTTCAGCACTAGTATCTCATTGTTACTTATTGCTACAACAGATATATCAAATTTTAAATGTTTTTGCATTAAAAGTTATTTGATAATAAAATTAGGAAATTTTACCTTGTGGTTCTAGTTCATGTTACAATGTAGTTACAGTGTCTTCTTAGAGAATAAAAAAATTCATAGCATTTTCATAGTTTCCTTTTATTGTATAGTTCACTGGTAGTTTTCTTTTGCAGTGTACTCTAGTTAACACAGAAGCCAAAACCTAGTTTACATGATTTCGTTTTCTTTCTTTAAGAATTTGTAATTTAATTCTAGTTTTTGGTGTAGTGTTATCAGTAGTCATTGTGCATGTTATTAGATGGGAACCAGAATTCATATTTTACTAAATAAGCTACAAAGAGAATGTAGGATCAGCTGAGGTAAATGTTGAAAGACAAGAATGTGGTTAAAAGGATTTTAAAATTGTACTATGTCAATTATACTGAGTCAGTTTTTAAAAAGTGCTCTGAGTTATTCTCTGGGGCCTGGTTAACATATGAGAACCATATTGCATACAGTTTGGGGTCACAGAGTTTTAGGTTTTGTGCGTGTGTGTGTGTGCGCGTGCACGCGCAGTACTGGGGATTGAATCAAGGGCCTTCACACTGGGCTACGTCCTCATGCCTCTAGTTTTTAATTTTTTTAAATTTTTGAAACAAGATCTTGTAAGTCACTAAGTTGCCCAGGCGGGATTTGAATTTGCAGTTGTCCCACCTCAGACTTGCCGAGTGCTGGAGTTACAGGTGTGTGCCACCATGTAAGTTTCAGACTACAGTGGACTTTAAGTTACGAGCAGCCTGCTATGTGAACGACTTGGTTTAATTAGGTTAATGGAAAATTCATCTGCCTCTTGTTAATCTATAGTGTGTACCTAGGTAGACATCCAGATCTCAGCTGTATTGACTACAACCGAGTTGAATTACATCTAGCCCCTAGGAACTGATCAAGTTTGTAAGTCCAAGGGTCCACTGTACTTGAATCCAGAGTCTGTTCTTTTCAACTATAAAATTAGGGAAAATTTGCCTGGTGTTGAGTTGAAGGCGAAAGAGTTTTCTAAAATGAAGTTCAAGGAAGTCCCTTCTTTAGAATGAAACTTGGTTCCAAGGAATAACAGACTTAATAAATGAGTAGGAAGAACGTTTGGTAATGGAAATGCGTAAGTCAAGCTCAGTGGCACGTTATAAAACATGGGTTTTCATTTTCAGCTTCAGATCTTGGCAGCAGGTGTTCCATCAATTCCTTTGTGGTTTTGTCTTCCTCTTATTAGGCTGATTTTGTGAAAATTGCACATCCCGAACTGGCATTCAGAGAGGCCGCTGGAGAAGCCTGCAGGAGTATTGGCACCATGGTAGAAAAGTATGTGCTGTTCCTCCATTTCAGTGCTGGGTGATGTTTCCTGGCTCAGCCTTAGGGGTTTCCTGCGTGGTGCTTGTGGCCACCTGGCAGTGTGGGAGGTGGCCTGTGTGACCACCGGGCAGTTCCTGGGGCAGGTGCAGAGGGGAAGCCCTGGGGCACAGTCCTCTCCTCGCTTCCTTTCCTCACTGTCAGTGGGGTAAAGCTCACCTGGCCCTTGGGGTGCTGTGAGGATCAGCTGAGGTAAATGCAAAAGACTTCTGAGGCATGAGGCCCCTCCTGTAACTCAGTAGACGGGTCTTGTAGCTTTTACTATTGTCATTGCTTATGATGAATGAGGGCCGTGTGGTTTCCTAGTGGCAAGTTGGAGTTCTAGATTAGTGCACAGCTAAATTGCTGTCCCACTCCAGTAGCAGAAATTATGTATGCAACAAGTAGTGCCCTTGGGGCTCTGCTGAGTTGGAATTGGGGGCCCCAGGAGGACTTTAAAACTCTGGGAGTGCCCACAGACTGCAGGCAGAAGCTATGCTGATGTAAATTATTTTAAAGTAATTTTGAGGTAAACTGAAATGTTTCGAAGCCATTTATGAGAGCTCCAAAGTGCTCATTAAAATAACTGCAGACAGTGCTATATTCCAAAGCACTTAGGTGGTGACACCACGCCAGAGGACAGGTGAAGCTGGGAGATCCTTGGAGGTTACCTGGTATGAATTTACAAGAGGAAATAGGGACTAGGAAACATTACAAGACTGTTCCATGAGCTGGAAGTTGGAGGAAGAGTGTAGCTTCTCCAGTTAGGCAGGGCTTCCTTGGAGATTGGCATCTTAGGATAAGCAGTTGTTGCCTTCGTTGACAACATTACTCAGTAATCATTATGATACGTGTGACTTTCTTACAGCCACTGAGAGTCAGTTTGCTGAAGGGATGAAGTTGGTCCCTGCCATGTCCAGACCCTGGTCAAGCTGACAAGGCTACAGTGGGGAGACAGCTGGGAGAATGACCATTACCTATGGGGGGGACTCAAGAAAGGGGTCAGCTTGGCCAGGCCCCCCTGGGGTGCTCCAAAGCTGTGAACTGTGGGGTTTAGGTACAGCCTGGTGTAAGGATGAGCACTCTTGGGGGACGCTTGTTATCACATATTTATTTTACGAATTACTGTCTTCTACTGTGACATCACTATATATGCGACACTCTTATTTTGTGGGAGGAAAACAGACAACCACTGTTGATGAAGTGGTGCGTATCTGCCTGCGGTCTTCCCCTCACCATGGGTAGCGTTTCAGTTGTCTGAAAGTAAAATCTTAAAAGAATCTTCAGCGCCTTCCCTAGGGCTTTGCTTTCTCCGAGCGTTGTGACTCAGCAATTTCCCGAGTGATAATTTCCCCCTTTTAGTTTAACTGTATCATAACTAATGTCTTCAGTCAATATTTGAAAAATTAGTTTTATTTCAGCTAATGTGTGGAATTGATTTATTTTCTGCTAGTAGGGGAGAAGCCTTAAACTTGGTGTAGTTGTTTATAACCAACAAATACAGCCTTTATCTTAGGAGCTTCCAACATAAAACATAGTGTCCAATGTGTGTTTAAACTTCTGAAGGTGACACCGCAGCCCACCTCCAAACTGCTGTCCTTGAGACAGGGGCAGCTCTGTGGACAGCAGGCCAACAGGAGGGGCCCACTCTTTTTTTTTCTTAATTAATTAATTAATTAATTTATTTATTTTTGCCCACTCTTGACTCTGATGCCTGGAGTAGGGCTGGGCGTGGCCCCTCCCGCTGAGTCTTGGTTGGCATTGATGGCCTCAGTTCCCTCTGTGTTTGGGAATACCCAGGAGAATGATGGCAAAAGGAGCCCTTTGGTTTATATATAGAAAAAACTTGGTGCTCTCATTGTGATTTGACTGGGGTACTGGGCCATTCTCGAGGCCCTGAGTGGGAAATGGTGGTTTTTATGACTGTGTCTCTCCCTGAGGAGCTGCCAGAGGCAGGGGCAGGTTGTATCTAGTCCAGCCCTGAGAGTAGGCCAGGGATTCGTATCACCGGGGTCCTGATGGGCCACTGTGGGTTGAGTCGAGACCTTTGATTGAGTGGTGGCACGTAGCTCTCCCGGCCTTGCTCATGCTGGCCATTGGTTCGTTGGGATGAGGGATGTGCATCAGGCGCACATGAGCTCACTTCATCCTCACAGCGCTCTAAGGCCTCAGTGCTTTGCCCACCGTCGAAGGGCCACAGTAGGGCCAGCCTTGCATCTGCATGTGGCACTGGACCCTGTGTCCTGAGCATGGCACAGGGAGGCCAGGGTCTAGGCACTCATTTCAGGACTGGAAGAGCTTTGTGCTGTTCAGCCTCCCTCCCATCCTGCCTTTTCCCCTCACTAAGAACTTCAGTCTCTGCCAGTGTTCGCCAAAGGGAATTGGTTCTGCATTGAGTCACTGGTCACCACATTACACCCTCCTCTCTTTCCTATAACTACCCCCAATATTTGGCCTCTGGCCACATGCATGCTACTATCTGACACCATTTGTTTGATGTAGATAAAAAATAATGTATTAGAAAATAAGTTTTTTTTCATTTGTAACTTCTCCAGGTTGAACACGAATGTGGAATTATACCAAACTTTGCAGAAACTAATAGCTGATAAAAAGCTTGTGGACTCCCTTGATGCTGAAACCAGGTACTCACTGCTTTCTTAGAGTTCGCTAGGACTGGGCCTCTAGTGGAGGGGGGCCGGAGGTTTAACTCAGTGGTTCTGCTCACAAGCACAAGGTCCCAAGTTCGATCCCTAGTTAAAAAAAAAGGGGGAGGGCTTTTTAGAGGAGGGGCTGGAGCTCCCCAGGGCTCCCACATTCACCCAGGGATAGTGGTTCCCCCACCCCCACACCTCTGCACCTTCTCTAGGTCTTCACTCAGATGGTGTCTCCTCACCCCAGGTGGGCTCCATCCTCTTGCTTTAGCTTTTTTCTTCACAGCTCTAATCTGCTCACTAATTTGTGTTCATCTTTCTGCCTCTCTAACTGCCGCTTCCCAGAGGGCAGGGCTTGGTCTCTTGCTGTGTCCTCAGCGCCTCCTGTAGGCGCTTAGCTAATGAACTGCTGGGAACAGCTGGTGATTATACTTAGCCTTAAGCTTCAGGCTCCGTAGTCAATACCATCAGCAGATATAAGCAAATCAATTTATTTATTGGATGGGTGTCAAGGTGCTTGAAATGATTCACTTTAGTTCATTAGATTACATATATTAATCTGATTTGAAAAGGCCTAGTTTCTAAGTCAGTACATACTGGTGGGAATGTTTGATATCTGATCTTGGATAGCTTTATGTCTTTGCTCAAATTTGCTTATAAAATTGGTGTAATAGGGTTTGTCCTTTATTAGCTCATAATGTTTGTGTCATAACTAGATTTTTTTCTTACCTCTTTATACCTGTTTATATACTTTTAATTTATGAGATATTTACTTCCTTTGACTACTTAATTCCCCTCCTGCTTCCTTCTCCATTTCTGTCTCCATATGTGGCTTGTGACCCCAACTGAAGCCCTGTTCCATTGTTGGGCCTTACTTTCAACTTGTTGGCAGGTGTATGATGACCTGGTCTTATTTCATTTCATCTATCCCAATGCTCAGGATACTAGGAAAGCTAGCATTGTCATCAGAATAGTTGGTTTCATTATACTTTTAGGCTTGAGCATGGTATTGCCTTCATGAGCAAAGCAAGTAAGATAGGCTAGTCCTCTGCCACTTAGTAGCAAGGGTTAAGGGTCTGCCTGTTTTGTCTGGTGCTCTGGATGTCAGTGAGGCACTACGTAGCACTCTGTGCCCTCACTGGGCCTGTTGAAATCTCCCCACGTCAGTCCTGAGAGCACCTGCATCTCCTCTGGGTACCCTGAGGTGACACACTCTCCACCTCATATCTGGAGCTGGTCCCGTGGACACCAGAATATACATCAGGTACCCAGCATTGGCCTCCAACCAGCAGAAGTCCAGACCAGGAGCCTCAGAATCCAATACTCCACACCTTTCCTTGACTGATGTGACATCTTTGACAGTTGCCACAAATAGTGGTTTACAGACAGGGGACCCACTGAGCTGAGAAATCTACACACACATCTACAGACTATAAAGAGGAGCAAAGAGAAATGTGACATGTAAGATTAAAGATTGCAGACACTGGAAGAAAACACTCTACTGGAAAAACATGACCTTATACTCTACATAGAATACCCAGGGAACTCCACCAAAAAACTCTTTAATAACCATCCTCAGGATATAAGATCAACACACAATAATTATTAGCATTTGTGTGCACCAATAATGAACCCAATGAAAAGGAAATTATGAAAACAGTACCATTCAAAGTAGCTACAAGAAAGCTTCAAGAAAAATGAAATAGCTAGGAATTAACCTAACCAAGGAAGTGAAGGAACTCTACAAAGAAAACTACAATACTTGGAAAAAGGAGATTGAAGAGGACATCAGAAAATGGAAAGACATCCCTTGCTCCTGGGTAGGCAGAACCAATATTGTCAAAATGGCTGTCTTAGTTACTACTTTCTCATTGCTGAGAAAAATACCTGACATCCTAAGTTAAAGGAGGAAAAGTTTATTTTGGCTCACAGTTTGTAGAGCTTTCAGTCCATAGTTGGCTGGTTCCAAGGCAGGGTGGCATGGTAAAGGGGCATCCTAGAAAAGAGAAAGAATTCATGACGGGTAGAAGGCAGCAAAACAGCAAAGTAGCAGTGACAACACCGGGAGCCCTCCTTCTGTACTTTATATTCTATCCAAGGTACCTGCCTGTAGGGCACTCACCTCCAAAGTGGGGCACCCATAATTCTAGCATTGCAACCTTAATCAATCCTGGCATCACATTCTTAATCCCAGGATCCCACATGGTAGATCCAGCCACCTCCAAAAAGCCCCACCTGTGACTGCATGAGGCTTTAGGGGGACATCTAGATAGAAGCCATAATAATAGCCATACTCCCAAAACTGTTATACAGATTCGATACAGTCCCAATCAAAATACCAACAGCACACTTTACAGAATGAGAGAAAACAGTCTTAAAATTTATATGGATTCAGAAGAGACCCAGAATAGCAAAAGCAATTTTGAGTAATAAGAGTGAAACAGGAAGCCTTGCAATACCAGACTTCAAGCTATACTACAAAGGAATAGTGATAAAAACGGGATGGTACTAGAACAAAAACAGATATGTGGATCAGTGGAAGAGCATACCGGATACAGACACTTCCCCAGACACATTCAGCTAGTTTATCTTTGGCAAAGGGTCCAAAAGCATGTTGGAGGTGTTCAATAAGTGATACTTGGAAAACTGGTTATCTGTTTGGAGAAGATTGAAACTAGACTTGTGTCTCTCACTGTGTACTAAATTTTAAAAAAATGGATAAAAGATCGAAACATTAAAACAGAAACATTAAACTCAGTGGAAGATAAAATAGGTAAAACACTTGGAAGACATAGGTGTATGAAAGGATTTTCTAAACAGTATTGTACCAGAAATAACAGCAAGAATAAAAAAAATGGGATTATTTCAGACTAAAAAGCTTCTATATAGCAAAAGAATCAACTAGTAGAAGAAAAGACAGTCTACAGAATCAGAAAAAGTTTTTGCCAGCTACTCCTCAGACAGAGGACTAATATGTAGCATATACAGTATAAAGAATTCAAAGCACTTCAACCACCTGAAATTAAAGACCTAGTCAAGAAATGGGCAAGTGAAATGAACAGACACTCACAAAGGAAGGAAGTACAAATGGCCAACAAATATATGAAAAAAAAATGTTCAGCATCTCCGGCCATTAGAGAGATGCAAATTAAAACAACCCTGAGATTCTTACTCCAGAAAGAATGGACATAATCAAGAAATTAAAAAATAACAAAGGCTGGCATGACTGTGGTGAAAAAGGAAATCTTCATTGTTGTGGGAATGTAAACTAGTACAACATTATGGAAATCAGTATGGAGATTTCTTAAAGAACTAATGAGAAATTCCATATGACCCAGCTATCCTTCTGCTAGGTATCTTCCCCGAAGAGTTTAAGACATCATACTACAGTGATACATGCATACCAGTGTCTACAGTGGCACAATTCATAATAATTAAATCCTGGAAGCAGCCTATATACCCATCAATAGACAACTGGAAAAAGAAATTGTATCTATATGTAATAGAATACTACTTGGCGGTATAGAAGGACAAATTTGAGACATTTGTAGGAAAATGAATGGATGCACTTCGAAAATAAAATGTTGAGTGAAATAAATCAGACACGCAGGCTTGACTATCATGGTATTTCTTATTTGATTAAGGCAAAGTACAAGCTAAGGGAGAAATACAGGATGGACGGAAGGAGACAAGGGGCTGGATCTCCTGCAGATGGGAAGGAGACCAGGGGACCGAGGGTGAGGGATGAGGGGAGAGGGTGGGGAAATAGGTGGAGTGAAGACACCCCAGGTACAAGGTCCTAATAATTTCAAGGAATGTGGACATTATATGCCATAAACATGAACTAGGATTCATAAGATCAAGAATGAACAGAGGAAAAGGGGACTTAGAAGTCAGATGGAGGGGAAGGAAGGTGATTAAAAAAAGAAGCTGTATTATGTACATGTAGTAACTCTCCAAGATGACTGTAAAATACATGTACTGAAAACATGTACTAATAAAGTATAATTTACAAAATAAGATTATTCATGTTCCACTTGACATTTCCAGGTTTAATGTAGCCACTTGTAGTGGCTAACAAATGATTTAGATACAAGGGACTTAGACCAATAGGATACATTCCACAATTGCAGATGTTGCTAAAAATGCAATAGAAACTTCTGAATAACAAATGAGCAGCTAGGTGGAATATTAATAGTCTAGAAAGAGGAAAGCTTTGGGTGTGGGAGAACATTGGAGTTTGAAGTAATAACTGAAATATCATGGCATTCTCACATCAAGGGTGTTGGGTAGCACCCCCAAAAGAACTCTATCTAAGAGCCTTGCCCCTCAGAGTAGCATAAGACAGGACTAAAGCAAAGAATTGCAGATTTAATAAAGTAGTCCTGATAAGTTAGTGTACAAAGAAATGATTTGAATTAACTCATCCTGTTTCAATTCATTCCTTTTTTTTTTTTTTTTTTTTCCTTTTGAGGTAGGGTCTTGCTATATAGATCAGACTGGCCTTGAACTCACGGTGCAGTCCAGGCTGGCCTCAAACTCACAGTGATCCTCTTGCCTCAGCCTCCCAAATGCTGGGATCACAGGCGTGCGCCACCACACCCAGCTAGATTCATTCCTTAGCACTAGTTCTGTGTAATACTCAAATGTTTTGAGTGGTCCCATTGGTCCATAAATTTGGAAATCTGACATGTTAATATTCGTTCCCCACTTGCTAAATTTCACTTATTAAAGTTTCTAAGAAGCTCGGCCATAAAGAAACCTATTTAACTGTGGTTTTCTAAAACTGTACATTCCCTGTGCAAAAATATAACGGCACACTCTCCAGACAATATAATAGAAGGAAAACCCTAGTCACAAAAGCCACGGAACCCATACTACACCTTAAAATGAACTCTGGAAGTCAGAGTGCACACATACACACAAGTGAGTGTGCTCACACACCCTGGGAAGTGTGGAAAGTGGCTGAAGTGGAGAAACTGCTGCACTGTATTAGCTAAGAATGAAGGGAGCTCAGTAGTGCCTCCTACTGGCCTGTAACTTTATTGTGTGCAATCTATATCTAAAAATGATTTTTAGGTTGCTTCTTTAAATGACTTTGAGGTCATACAGAACAAATATGCTAAAATAGGGGGGGAAATCATAACCCAGAGGGATTTATATCAGATAATAAAACATAGTATAAAAATACTGTATTTAGAAAGCATCATACTTAGGCCAGAATAGTTAATTAAATCAGTTAAAGAATGGCGGAATTTCAGCCAGACATAGATCCACAGTAGCTTGTGTTTAGGATGTGATAGAAATGTCATTTCACATCAGCAGGGGAAGATTTCAGTGATATTAGGCCAGTAGATAGGCATATTTTTTGAAAAAGTAAATATTTACAAAAAATAAATTGTAAAAGCATCGATAATTTTGGGCTATGGGATCTTTCTTGGGTTGATACCAAAAAGAAAAGATTGGCTGGTTTGATCACATAAAAATTACCAACATTGGTAAGGCAATACTTCCACACTAGATCAGTATACAAAAATGAGACAATTGTTACATGACAAAGGGTTAATCTTTTTTGTTATGTTGAGTCTTCATAAATTACTTGAAAATAAAAGAAAATGAACCCCTTATAGAAAAATGAATACAAAATTCTTTTTGTGAAATTCTTATGTTACAAAATAAGGAATAAACAGATTCTCATTAAACTCACATAGCTAAGTTTCAAGTGGCTCTAGAATTAGGCTGCTAGGGTTGGTATTGGCTTTAGGGCTCTCTCTTAGTTTTCTCCTTTATAAAGGAGGAATGAAAAAGCATTTCATAGGACTACAGTGAGGTTTAAGTAAAATAATTCATGTAAAGTGCTTTATTCAGTACCTGGGACCCCAAAATGGGACTTAGAACCACTGAAAAAAGGTAGAATGAAGCAAAGGGCCCATCAGTCAACAAATTTGAAATAAAAAGAATAGTAGTGTTGATGGTTTAGGATAAAGGATCCTGTCTAGTCTAAATTGACGTCTTCAGGGAGAACAATTTGATATGTCAAACATTTATATCTCAGTGTGAATACTTTTTGATCACTTTAAGTTCTCGGAATTTATCCTAAGCATAGGTTTAAAAAAAATCATAGTATAGTTTATGGGAGTGGGAAAAATGGAAACAGTTCATGTGGCAGAATGCAATACGAACACAAAGTCAGGTTTTTGAAGGATATTTAAAGATAGGAAGAACTGTTCAATGTTTATGTTGTAATTTTACAAGAAAAAGCCAAATATAAAAGAATACTGTATATAATTGGGTCCCGATTTTTAACTGTTATATAACACATTGAAAATAGATGGGAAGGGAATACAAGAATTTTAATAGTGGTTATTGTTGGTGAGATTAGTCATTTTTATTTTTTCAAACATTTCTTTAGTAAAATGTGTTACTATAATCAACCTATACTGTCGAGTATAGCAAACTTATGTGGTAAATTTCCATCCCAAGCTTATCCGCCCCTGTTAGGTTTCTTTTATTGAGACAACTGGAATATACTTTTACTTAAAAAAAAAAGAGGGCTGTTTTGGGACCTATGATTCAGGAAGGCACAGAAATGTGAGGAGAGGGTAATGAGGTTGGTTTGGGGCTTGAGTGATGTGTTCCACATTGTTTAAGAGAGAATATGAATGATTACATTGTTAATGTTGCCTTTGAATTTTCAGAATTTTAGAAGAACTTTAATTTTGTTTATCCAAGATGTCTTTGACACAGTAATCAAGAAGATAAATATATCCATTTTGAAAAGTCAGAACCAGAAGAGTACGTCAAATATTTGCCTAGCCTACCTCCAGAGAAAAATCAGTTAAAATCATAATGTTACAGAAAAAGGTGTTACATTTGAAATTGGTTCCAAAAATGAAGCAGGATTAGAAAGAAAGAAAACAACTCTCCTTAGCCAAGAAATTCAGCTTCCAGCACAGCATCAAAGAATTGAGTATTTGAAGGAGCTGCTACTAGTTGGAAGAAGAACTAAAAATCTCATGCAGGGGGCCTTTGAAAAATCATCCAAGTAGAAACTGTTTTATGTTTTTAATTATTGGGATTTGGATGGAGTTGAAATAAGTAATTGGGATGGTGACTTTCACTGGTTTGCACTGTGTGAGTAAGGGCATAAGCTCCCACATGACAAGCCAAATGTAATTATCTATCAGTTAGATGTTTTGCCTGACTTCTGAGAGAGTAAGCTCCCTGTTTCAAACACACACATTGTTGGTGTGTATGCTGATGTGTGTATGTTCAAACAGCTTTTGGCATTGTTTCTGAAAGGCTGACTGAACAACAGCAACAACCAAAACCCTTCATTTTTTTGGTAATTTTTATACCTCTTATAACCTGGGGCTCATTTTATTTTAGGCGAGTGGCTGAACTGTTCATGTTTGATTTTGAAATCAGTGGAATCCATCTAGATGAAGAAAAGGTAAATAAATCTCCCTTCTTCTCTTGACTCCTCTTGATTTACTGACATTTAGATGATACCGTTTTTGCTGTAGTCCTTGTGTATTACTGGAGTTTGCATATTGCAAAAAATGCTCAGGACTTTGATTTGTCACGAAGTGCTCCTATAGGTTGTTCGTGAAGGTAGTGCTCCCTAAAGGCTAGCCTATTGCCCCATGGCAGTTCAGAATTAAGAAATGGCTTGAGACAGGTCGGACATTTTAGATGTCATGGGATTAAGATGAAGTGGCCAATACCAGGACAGATTGGCAAGTGAGTAGGAGGGCCAAGTCATGGCAGACGGAAAGCACAGGGGACAGCATCAGGACCTGTGCCTGTGTTTCCTTACGTGATACCTGTCTTAGGCAGCGTGCGCACTCGTCCAGGAGGCAGTTCTGGCACAAAAGGGCCGGACACACTGTCCAGACCTCTTGTTTTGCAGATGTGGAAACCAGGCCGAGTGACTCGCTCACGTGCTCATCCTCAGCTCCAGGACTTCTCCCAGTGCCATTGTTTTTCCTAGAAAATGACACACTGAAAAATTGAGGGCCTCCTGTCTGTCCATAGTCGGCTCGGGGCTGGAGAACTGGGGTGCACTGCTGGGTCTGCTGCCTGTGGGGTCCCCCGCTCACCTGTCCTCTAAACTGCTATGGTTAGACTCACCCCCTTGTGAAAAGATAATTATGTTTCTTCTTTGTAATTAAATTCTTTACCTAGGAACAGAGATTAGTTTATTAGAATACTCTGGAAAGTAAATGGCAGTCTTTGGGATATACAACCAGGCCTCTGTGTCTAAATCCAACTCACGACAGCCAGAAAATACTCAGGAAGAAATTGCATCTGTACTGAACACATACAGACTTTTTTCTTGTTATTATGCCTTAAACAATAGAGTACAACTGTTTACATGATGCTTCTATGTTATTATGTATTATGAGTAATCTGTGCTTTAAATTTGTGTTTTAATTCGTACATTTGCAGGATAGAATGATACATTCATCATGAGGAGTTGGTGCATGTACATGCACATCTTAATTCTTTGTACCTCCCCTTCTCCTCGCCCCTCACTCTCCCAGGTATTATGAGTCATCTAGAAGTGATTTAAAGTCTGTGGCCGGCAGGATATATCTGAGTTGTATGCAAATACGGTGCTTTTTTTACCAAGGGACTTAAGCATCAGTGGATTTTGGTATTAGTGGTGACAGGGAGTCTTGTAACCAATCCCCATGAATACCAAGGGATGATTGTGTATCATATCCATACAAATTATCATTTTGACTGGGGCTTGGTTTGAATAATGGTGGATCCACTCATATGTCTGATGTCTTTGTTTGGCATTAAGGTCAGCAGGTGACTTCTGCTGTGACCCTGAGCCATGACCCACCTTCCTGTCAGGCCACAAAGCCAATGGGCTCCGCTCACATTATCTGAAAGAAACACCTTTGTCCATCTCCGGACCAGTTCTTTATTAGCAATTTTCTTTTGCAGTGATACATACCACTATTCTGAGCCACCCAAAAGAAACTTTTGGAATCAGTTTGCATTTTTCCCTTACCAGGACTCTCATATCTTAGTGACCCAGTCCTTGGATTGTCTTTCTAAAAACAAGTCACTTTGACCAGAGGGCTTGGCTGTCCGAAAAGCCATTGTCTTCCTAACCTCATTGTAATGCACATTACCCGAGCATTTGCTGCAGTAAAGCATGTGTCTCTCACGACATCTTCATGACAGTGTTGAGGTTGGTACTGTTTCCTGTTACAGATGAACACACTGGTGAATCTAGAGGAGGTGGGAGGTGACTGAGCCAGAACCCCGCAGGCTCGCTGCTGCTGAGGCTCCCGTCTGTGAATGTGGGATTTGTTTTCTTAACGCATTGATTTTCTAGCACTCTCTTGACCAGAAGCTTCCGGTCACTTCCCTTTGTCTAGTGACATTAATAGGTAGCACAGAATTCACACGTCTCCGTGTGCCCTGTGCAACTGGTCACACAGTGCCTTCCCCGGTGTGGTGGATTGATTAATGATCAACTTGTAACGCCCAGCTGAACTGAATGAGCGTGGTCTGGGCATGGAGGATCCACCTGACGACTGTTACCAATAGCCATGAAAAGAGAACTGGAGGGGAAGATCTTGGCTTGTTGATTTGTAGGAGAAGCTTGCTGCGGATGGTTTTCCTGATGCAAACTCGGCTGTTCTCATCAGAGGAGGGGCTCGGGGCCTCACTGTTACTGGGAATGGCTGCTGTTTTCATCAGGGGAGCTCTGATCTTCACTGTGAGCATCACTTCCTGGCTCTGATGTGGATCCCTCAGCTTGGTCGCAGAAATCCTTCATTTCACCAGCGTGGATTTTCTGGCTTCCACCTTTGGGCCTTCCAGGTGCAGATCCTCAATATGGACAAGCATGACACATTGCCATGTGCTCTAGGCCTCTGGCTGGACTCGAGGACATCAATTGCCTTGGACTCCAGGCCTTCAGCTGGACTTGTGTGGGAAACTGCTGGGATCTAGGCCCTCAGTTGAATCCTTTGGGCTTCTAGGGTGCGGTGAATCTCTTGCACTCCTTTGCATTTGACTCTTTGGGTAATTATAAAATAACCTTGTAAGTTATTTGTCCTGTATTTAATGTATTCCCTTGCTGAATCTTTCTGACTAAAGCACCCTGCAGGTTTGCCTGGTTGAAATCCCTGTAAGACTTCATGTTCAGGCCTTGTGGTCTGGGAAGCTTTTATCAATGCCCCAGGTGGAATTATGTATTTACCTGAATTCACCTTTTACTTATTTCCCTTATACAGCATTTATCTTTAACTGCCTTTATTTGGAAATTGTTACTGTTGCCATTATTGCATCATTTATGTAAATTACAGGCTTATCAAGGACTGAGAATGTGGATCATATTTTTCATGCATGATAGCCCTAACGCTAACCCTAAATGAAATGTTGAATATATGACGAATCATTCTACTGCTAGCTAATGGTAATTGAGCTTGATATCTTCAGAAAGACCATTGCTAGTAGAGGTCTCTGTGGGAAGTTTTAATGTCTTATATAATCCTCAGAAAAGATGCTTCTAAAACTTTGCTGATATACCTTGTTCCTTCACTTTCACCAGCATAGACATTGCTGCTTTTATCTGACTTGTGTCCTTATGGTAAAAATATTCTTCCCTAGCAAACAGCTCCCTGGGGAACCCAGTAGCATTAAAGATGCAAGAAAAATAAATCGCAGTTCTTTTCTCATGATTCCCCTATCTGTTCTCAAAAATGCTCCACCAAGTGCCGGGGATTTAGCTCAGTGGCACCCCGCCTGCCTGGCAAGCCCAAGGTCCAGAGTTCAATCCTTGGTTCTGCAAAAAAAAAAAAAAAAAAAAGATGCTCCGTCAGCACAGGGTATGAGGAAGATACATGATGTGTTTTAGAAAAGAGATCAGGAAGTAAACAAGGAAATATACAAATCATGAAGTCCTGTGTTCTTCCAAGGTTTTTAGTTTTTATATTTTAGATAGGTCTTACCTGTTTTAGATTAGTCATCTAGCCTGACTTAGAGCTCCTGAACTAAAGCAACCCTCCTGTCTCAGTCTCCTGAGTAGCTGGATTATAGGTATGCATCTTTGTACCTGACAGTTTTGTTTTAATTTTTAAGATCTCTTGAATATAATTTAAAAGTTTAAAATGATTAGAAATCTATTTTAATAATTATTTAATAAATAACAGTTTCATAGAATTTTTGTCAAGTTTAGAATATTGCATGTTGAATTGTCTCAGAATGGTAAAGGATATGCCTAGCAGATCGTTGCAGTCAGAAAGTGTACTCAGTTTTAATTTTCCCAGGGATTATCAGGTGATAAAATGTTTAGAAATTTTATCATTAAAAAAAATTTTAATAGTAAAAGCCTAGAGGAAAATTTTAGAATTATAATGTAATTTGTATTTTTTGTTATTCCACTAATTACCACTAGATGGTGATATATAGCCAAATTAAAGACAAATAGGCAAAGAGAAATCTGGGTCTAAGAGACATTGGAGTCTTGGGAAACTTAATTTTCCCATGAAGTTTGAATTTTCTGCATTGAAAACTTGGAGTTGTTTTTATATACTTAAGTTTTCCAGCTTTGTATGGAGTATACATCTATATCTTATATTTCTATCTTTTAAAGAGCTGGTGGTACTTAGTTATTTAAAGACATAACATATGCTAGAAGCTAGTACGTAATAGGTATGGACTCCCTTCCCAGAAGGCTGCATGTGATCCGCTCGAGTCTGTCCTGAGCCCAGGCTGGAATTCGGTCTTGTTTTCTAGTGATCAGTAACTGAAAAGCCATTGTTCATCCTCTAGTAAGTCTAACTAATTATGCAGGTGACAGTTTTTATTTCATATTGAAATACTTGTGGCGGCTCCTTTAATGATACGCATTTTCTCAGGAGATTGTGTGATATGAATGTGTCAAAGCTGAGGCAGGAGGATCACAGGTTTGAGCCTAGCCCAGGCAACTTAGACTTCGTGAGACCTTGTCTCAAGATCTGAAAAATAAAAAATGAATCCAAGAGCTGAGGAATGTAGTCTGTTCAATCCCCAGTACTGTAAATACCGAAAACAACAACAAAAAACCCAACAAAAAAAGAAAACAAGGGTGAGCCGGACATGGTGGTACATTCCTGTTTTCCCAGCACTTTGGGAAGCTGAGGCAGGAAGATCTCAAGTCTCACTGTCTCAAAATTAAAAAAAAAAAAGGTTGGAGATATAGCTCAGTGTGGGGTGCCCTGTGGTTGTTTACTACTCTCGTGCAGAATGAGTTGCTCAATTCCTTTTCCTTCTGCCCTTTAATCTTTTGAGATTCAATATGTTTTCTAATCTGCCTTTCAAATGCTTAATATTGCTTTATCTAAAAATACTTTGTGAGCTCTACATTGAATAGATCTAATGAGCCCACTAGTCTCTGACTCAATTAATGAAGGATTTTTTTTGGAGGTGGCAGGAGAGGATTCAGTACTTTATTGCTAATTTCCAAGATTAGTTACATAATATAGACATACAGTAGAATTCTAGAAGTTGTGTAAATATAAACAGATACACTGTGAAATCATAAGGGTAATTATTTTGTTGAAATAGTACAGATCAATCGTCAGCATAAGGATCAGCTATATATAGACAGACCCCTGTCCACTAAACTCAGGGCCTTCACACTGGGCTACCTTCCCAGTCCTTATTAAAAGACAGGGTCTCACTAAATAATTCCCCGGGTTAGGCTTGAGCTTCTGATCTCTGTGTTTCAACTCCCAGAGTGCTAGGATCACAAGTGTGCCACCATGCCCTTCTTGATTATCTGTTACATTAATTATATAGTATTAATTTGAAATACCTTTAAATAACTTTTATTCTTCCCACATGTAGCGTAAAAGAGCAGTGGACCTTAATGTTAAAATCTTGGATTTGAGTAGTCAGTTTCTTATGGGAACCAACTTTCCCATCAAGATTGAGAAGCATCTCGTACCCGAACACATTCACCATCACTTTGTGCATGACAAGAATCATATAGTTGTTGACGGCCTACATGCAGAAGCCCCGGATGACTTGGTATGCAGCTCCCGTTTTTTTTCTGATTTAGATTTCCATCTAAACTCACTAAACAATGTGTGTTGACACTGTTTTAATCCAAAATTCAGTGGTAACATAATCCTTAAAAATCTTTTAATGCAGTATTATTATGCCCTAAAAATCTAACCTGTGTGATCGTTAATTCCATAGATGCTTTGAAGAATGAAAATGGTTTAGCTATTAATGTCTGATAAAGAACTCCTTTTTAGAATATGATAAATGACAGTCATGACTAACCTTCTTGACTACTGAGATTTTTTTTTTTTGGTACTGGGGATTGAACTCAGGACCTTGGGCTTGCGAGGCAGGCGTGGTGCCACTGAGCTAAATTCCTGGCCCAGTACTGAGATTTTTAATCCATAAAATCTTTATTTCACCCAGTTAGAGGTGCTTTATGTTATAGCAACATAAACATTGGGTCAAAGTTTGTCCCCCAGACCTAGAAGAATACTCTAGAGCTCCAGCTGAGAATGTTGTGTCCCCCAGAATATGACTTGAAGGGTTTATTCACCTTGTGTAAACTATTTGTCTATTTTGAAAGTGGTGATTGCCGATCAAATGGTGAGCGCTAACCTATGTTATTGTTGCATAGGACTTTGTGCCATGGTATTTATGTATTTTACTTTTTAAATACAGGTTCGAGAAGCTGCTTATAAAATTTTTCTTTATCCCAATGCTGGCCAGTTAAAGTGCTTAGAAGAATTGCTCAGTAACAGAGATCTTCTGGCGAAGTTGGTGGGGTATTCTACATTTTCCCACAGGGCCCTTCAAGGAACGATTGCTCAAAACCCCGGTAAGCCTATGTATCCGCCTTTTAAGGACAAAATAGGGTTGTTCTTCATTTTGTTTTTTTGTGGTGGTGGGGATTGAATCCAGGGCCTTCATACTGATTCACTGAGCTACATTCAGAAGCCTTTTTATTTTTTAAGACAAGATCTCTCTAAATCACTAATTTGCGATCCTCCTGCCTCACCCTCCCAGAGTGCTGGGATTACAAGTGTGTGTTACCATGACCAACTTGAAAATAGGACTTTCACAAAGCTGAACTTCTGAGATATATATATATATATATTTTTTTTTTTTTGGTTGTGCTAAGGACTGAACCCAGGGCCACACTATGGGTAGGCAAGCACCACTGTTTTCCACTGAACCACTTCCGCAGCTCTGAACTTGATTTAAACAGTTTTGTTTGTAGTATACGCAGAGAACCATTTCTAGAGATCATTGATAACGTTTGATAGGAATGATCTTAAATAGAGCTAATAATTTGGCATATATTCTGTCCAGTCAAGGTATTTCATTTCATTTCATGTGTGTATTGAGAGTAAGCCACATCTAATTATTTGATTTGCTTTGAATTATTTTTGCTCTACCTCAGCTAGTTGGTGTACTCGAGCTAATCAGTTGCCTAGAATCAGGATGAGAGGATGAAAGAGCAGTATTTTTACTGTAGACTCTGTCATGGAAAAATAGTCCCTGCCCAGTGTATTATGAATGCCTGTAATCCCAGCACTCTGGCAGGCGGAGGCAGGAAGATAGGAAGTTCTAGCCCTGCTTGAGAAATGTAGTCGCTTAGTGAGATCCTGTCTCAAAAAATGAAAAGGCCTGGGGATACAGCTCAGTATGAAGGACCTGAGTTCAATCCCCAGTATCACCAAAAAATCAAACCAAGCCAAAACAAACCACATAGTCTTTAAAAGCTCCTTTTAAAGTCTGGCGTGGTGGTGCATGCCTGGGATCCTAGCAGTTGGGAGGCTGAGGTGGGAGAATCACCACGAGTTTGAGGTCAGGCTCGTCTTTCAGAGGAAAGAGTCCAGCGTGGGTAGGTGTGTGGTGGGTAGGTTCGGGTGGGAGCATCTTTCCTTGGGCTTGCACTAAACTTGCCTGTGCTGTGTTGAGGTCTTTATGATTCATATTGCATAAGAGAAAACATTACACAGTGATAATGGTCTAAGTATTCATTAGCTTTTTAAAGACATTTAAAAATTGTTTCTAATTTAGGCAGTGAGTCAAGATTCGTGGCAAAGATGGTGGAAGTGTGTAGGTCCAAAATGTATTTTGTAGGCTGAAGTTGCAAGATTCAGTGCTGGTGAAGAGCGAGGAGGAGCCCATGAGTGGTCTCTGGTCCTGCCTCCGGAGTGACACGCTGTTCCTGGGCAGAGGTGCCCTGGAGCGACCGCGGAGGACTAGCACGTGTGTCCTGCCTTGTTTCCGCCCATGCTACCCTTCTTCCTCGGGCGTGTTCCTGTGTGCCCTGAACTGCTTTAACGCCTGCTAAATCTTACTTTTTGCTCTTACCCACAGCCATTTCCCTTACCACACGAGAGTGGCTTCCCCTTCTAATATGTCTATTCAGATCCTGCCCAAGTTTTCAAAGCTCAGCCCCTGAAGCCCATTACACTTTTCACTTTGCTTGGGCTCCCTTGTTCTTGAACCCTTAAAGCACTTAACTTTTTTTTCATATAATTTATTTCCTAAATAGTTATCATATGTATGTTATCTTTCACTGCTTTGTGTTTTTTCTGTGGTCACTGCTATTACCAATTTGATTATGCTATATTTTTATTTTATATTATTATACAAAATAATATAAGAATAATACTCAGTACTTACTCTGCCATTATTTTTTCTTTGAATTTTTAATTTTTATTAGTGTATGTTTGCAGTACATGATTACATTGGCTGTGGGGAGTCGGTACATGTATATAACACATCTCAATTCTTTTTATTTCCCTCTACCCTACCCTTTTATTGCAAGTATCTGATTCATTTGTCTTATATAAGTCCTTATAAAGTTAATTATCCTATGTACAGATTAACAGCCAGACTAACAGACCAGAAGACATACAAAACACATAAGACAAGGTACTAAATTAAGGTACACTTTTAGATACCTTGTCCATGCTGGATTATAACTTTCTTCTCTCTCTTTTTTCCTAATGTCTGTCTTTTATTTTGTACTTTATTTATATGAGTTTCCATATCAGAGAAACTATGTGATATTTAAGTTCGTGTGTCTGATTTGTTCCACTTAACCTTATGATCTCAAGGTGCATCAGTTTTTCTATAAATAACTCAATTCTATTATCTCTTTTAATTGCTCTGCAGTCTTGTGAAGTAGGTATTGGTAGCCATGTCATAGATAGGAAATCTTACATTAGGATATATTGCTACGGTTTGGCAGAGCTGAATCCTCAACACACACTGTAAATTCCCATTTTTCCACAGGCTCTGTTTTCATTTTCTGTAGCCTGTATTTTCATTTATCTATTTAAGAAGTTTTTACTGTGTGTCAGGTATTATTCTAGGCACTGGAAATAAATCACAGTAGAAAACTGAAGGGAGCTCCTGCTTTAAGCACTTGGCATTCTTGGGAACACATAAAGCACAAAACGCATTGGTCAGGAGTGTGATGTGTCACCAGCGTGAGCCACGGGGGGTGTGGAGTTGGGAAGGGCATGGGGACTGGGAGTGAGGGTTAGGTGCTGTGCTTCTAAGCAGTGTCAGGGCGGGCTTACGGGAATGTGACACGTGAGCGTGGGCCTGGTGGCAGGGCAGGAATGAGTCTGCGCCCTTTGGGGAGGAGGTTCCAGGCAGTGGCACAAGCAAGTCACAGGCTAGAGGTGGAAAAGTACCTGCCTGTGAGGTACGATCAGAACATATGGTGAATATTAAAATTAGAACATATTACAGTAAAAGACACATTGCCATTAATTTCCCTCAAAATCTTCCCCTCACTTTAAGCACACTTATCCCATCATTCTTTTTTTTTTTTTTTGGTACCGGGGATCAAACTCGGGTCCTTGCGCTTGCGCAGCAGGTGGCGAAACCACTGAGCTAAATCCCTGGCCCATCATTCTTGCCATTTTCTGAAGCAGTTCTGGAAGTCCCCTTTTGTAAATGTCTTTAGTTGTGCACTGCTGTGGCTGCCTTGATGTCCTGAATCACGGTGTCAATTTGGTGAGTAAGGTGGACATGACACACAGTAATGTTTTTATTTGACAGAAATTACATACCACAGCAAGGTGTGAGCCAAAGATTTTGTCTTAAGCAACCGGAGATAGCAGTTTACTCTTAGCTAAGCTGGGGAGGAGCAGGAGCTTAGTTTGGTTCAGGTTAAAATTTGAGATGCCAGTTGAAGTTCTCTTGAGGACACCGAGTAGGCAGATACACAAGCACAGGGTTGAGAATGTCCTGAGCAGGAAGGGTGAGTTTGAGTCTGTATTTGAAGGAGTAAGAGTGTAAGATCACCCAGGAACACATTTACAGAACGTAAGTCCAAGGCCTGAGCTCTGGAGCTCTGACCTCTGAAATAAGAGGTCAGGCTGTGATGAGTAACAGTAAAGGCTTCTGAGAAGCAACGGTCCAGGATAGGGGGAATGTGAACAGCTAGCTCATGCACTCTTGGAAGGCACATAAAAGAAATGTCAGTGTGAGGAGGGAGTGACAGCTGCTGAAGGAGGCTGGGCACAAGGAGGTCTGGGTACCGACCGTTAGCTCGAGAGCGTGGGTTGGAGCTCAGCAGAGCAGCATAGCTAACACCAGACACCGTTACCCGAAATCCCCTACTCACGAAGGGGTCAGCAGAGGGCAGCTGATATATAACTGTTTTGTTTTCCTTTTGCAGTTCCTAACGTCATTTAACACAGCACATGAGACCGTGTCTTCTGAGTCGTCTCAGGCTCATTAAGTGTTGACAGTGGCAAGAAACCCTGGGGCTTCATGGTTTTGGTTAACCTCTGTTCTTTCCTTAGCCTTTCATTTCACTCCAAAAGAAGATAACTTGAATTGAAGAGAGGGCAAGAAACTTAAAACCGTGTTAAAGATCATCTGGAAACTATAAAAGCAATGTTTGTGGCAAACTTAAAATATATGAAAGCTCTATACAGTACACATGTCAGTGGCAGACAGTGCGAAATGAAAAACTACACATTTCCTTTCATGAGAAATAATGGTAGTTCTGCCACATTGCTTTGATGGGGTTTATAGTGACTATAGCTGAAGTATTTCAATAAGGGATTAAAAATTCTGTTAGAACTTCATGTTCCCAGTGTTCTAATTTTGCTCTGTTTTAGTTTTGATCTTGAGTATTCTACAGTGGAATACAAAAATAAAAATGGTTACCTGGAAAGACATTGACTTTTTAAATTAAAATTTTCAGTAAATCATACTTACTGACTATACTGATTTTTATGAACAAACCTGAATCTGACTAGTTAAAAGTTAGAGAAAGTAGACATGTCTGAACAACTTAAGTTTTTTCTCTTGCACATATGAATAGGTAGAAACACATTGAAATTTTGGATTTTTACCTTTGAGCCTCTCACTAATGCTTTTAATTTTGAGGTATAATCTAAGGCTTTGGATTATTACTATGCCTAGCATATTTTTCTGATTAACATCCAGAAATATTTGTTACATGCCTAGCATTTTAGCAACCCTGCTTCCCTTAGAAACCCTGACTTTAAATGAGTTTTAATATATAGATTATGATCATTATATTTTTAGCAGTTAATGTACAGTTTATTTTACATATTGAAGAGTTTTTTGAATTTCATTTTTAGAGACTGTCATGAATTTCCTTGAGAAACTATCTGACAAACTTTCTGAAAGGTTAGTTTCTGTTTTACTCTTTACTATCTTACTTATATATTTGTTTTTTGAAAATAACTTGATTTATAAAACATTTAGGAAGTAGTCTATGAAAATCGTAAGTTGGATCTGTGATGACTTGGCCATCTGGTGACATGCACCACCAGGCACACTTCCAAAGGACACAGGTGGCTTCGTGCGGTGCCAATCTTGATAGTTCAGGCAGTCCCTGACCACTACCCATTGTTTTTAGCAAGCCATCCTTTGTATATAATTTAAAAATGTTTCCAGAACCTTCTCTAAACTGTCTTAACCTGTGGCATACATTTTATAACATGTTTATAAAGTAGCATTTCTCTTCTTTTAGTCCAAACACAGGAGACTCATGGGTGTGGTAGCTTAATCTGTCCAGATTTTGTGTGTTTTAAGACCACTTTGCCTCAGCCTCTGTAACGCTAAGCGGAGGTGTTTTCCTCGGTCTGGCCGACCCTCTGCACATTCAGCCTCTTTGTGGTGGTGTGCTGTGCCTGGCACTCTCCTAGCCCTCAGTGGAGGTGCCACATGGTCGTCCTCAGAGTCCTAGTGCTGCAGGAAGTGGCAGGCCAGAGTTTGTAAAAGAAGGCGATGTTGTCTTTCTTTTCTTAAAATGTACATAAAATTTGCCCTTTTTGAACTATAACAACATATTGAATTTTAGCTCAAACTTCTATTTTGGATTATAAAATCTTGTCTGGAAACCCATTCCTTTACTAACTGGACTTAACGTTTATCACTTCTAAAATCTTTTTTTGATCCCATTGGAATATGGTGCCTTGGATATAAATAAGAGGGAATGCTAGTTATGCAGTTATTACTTTGCCTTGTTGATTAAGTATTAGTATTCCTTATCCACTTGTATGTAGCTACAGTTTATATTCTCAGCAAACATACCTCCATTGTTTTACAGTTTTATTTAGGAGTTAATTCTGACATGAGCTTCATATTTTACAAATATTAAGCACCTAATGAATGATTGCTTAGCTAGAGATTTTTTTGTAGAGGAAAAATTATAAATAGATATGTTAATCTACATAATATTTTTATAGAAAGTAATTTGTTTTTACTTTTTAAAAATACAGCAAAAAATAGCCATTTAAAGTTTGTTGATTAACAGTTTGCATGTTTCTGTAGCATTTCTAGTTGTGTCCATCCCCCACCCCATAGAATTCAGGATCTTATGCTTGCCAGGCAGGCATGGGCACCACTGAGCTACATCCCTGATCCCCAAGCCGTAATGCTTTTCAAGACATATTTGCCATGATGCCTTATAAGGTGAAATTGCAGTGAGGTACTGATTAGCATGTTGTCTTTTCTAACACTTGAGGAAGATTTGGATTAATACTACTTTACGTTTGCATTACAAAGTGCATCTAATTTTATCATGAACATGGAGAAGTAGTTGAGGCAAGCTAGTCCTTTCATGATGTAATTATTAAAATTCTGTCCAAACTAGTAATGGTAAACCTCTTTTACAGAGCTGTAAGAGATTTTGAGATGATGCAAGGGATGAAAATGAAACTAAATCCTCAGAATTCTGTAAGTAACTATGTTGGACTATTTTTATTATGAACATGTTACCAACAGAAACCATTATCTCAATTCTGGATCTTTCTTTTGATATGCTAGATGTCTGTGTAGTCTTGTTTCTGATACTTCGGATTTGCCAATAAAGGTATTCAAGTATTTGATCCATAGGTCCGACTCAGATATTGGTTGGAAATCAGGCATTTTTGTTGATTAGTAGATGTGTTGTGTTTATGTGTCTACATATACAGTATATAAGTGTGTATTAATGTAATGTATGTGCATGTATGCATTTGTGGAAAGTTGGATTCTCAGTTTGAAATAGCCTTTAATGAGGCTCAGTGGAGCCTTGATCTAGTGGGTGGCAGTTTTAACCATTGCTGTTAGCTTTGCTGTTTATATGCTCATATTCTTGCTAATTTGTGGTGCTCAGTGAAGTAGATCAATGTGGACTGGCAAAGTATACCCTATTCCAACCAACACTTACACATTGTTTTCAGTCTTTTTTATTTTTTTATTATTTTTTTTGTATATCCTTTTATTGGTACATTTTAGGTGTATAATATAATGACATTCATCATTGGAGATATGCACCTTTACATACTCTCTTGGTTCTTATTTTTCCCCCTTTGCACTCCCTTCAGCCCCTCCATCCCTCCCTATTTACATAGACTTTGTTTCCATTTTTTCATTTTCTCATGTTAATTCCATTCCCCACTTTCGTTTCCCCTACCCCTCCCACTTCCCCCTCCCCTTTGCCCCTTTTCTTCCTATTTCACATTATCTGTTACACCTTTTGGTCCTTATTTACACTTTCAGTTTCTCACACTAGAGAAACTAATTGGTATTTACACGTGTGTCCTGTTTATTTCACTTAATAAGAGTATTGCCTCAGTGTGGATCCATTTAGCAATAGATGTCTCTAATTTCTCATTTTTGATGGCTGAGTATTACTCCATTTTATAAAAGAATCACATTTTCTTGATCCAGTCTCCAGTTGATGGGCATTTGGGCTGTTTCCAAGTTTCAGCTATTACAAAGTGCTGCTATGAAGATGGGTGCACATATATC